CAGCAGCTCCCCATGCCAGCAGCAGCTCTGACTGCCCATGGGTCCTGTCCCCATGCTATTCCACACGATTTTCTAAATAAAAGAGCACTACTGCCAGATCTCGAGAGTCCAAGAAATCTTTCTTTCGACTCCTCGGCTCACCGACCCTGCATCAAATTCATCTTACATTTTGTTATACTGAAAGGAAAATCCAGACATCAATGATGTGGATTAAGGCTGCCCCAGCTAGAGAAGCTCAAGGTGACCTGGCCTACATGCCAAACTATATGACCCAGTGGACTTTTTTTATGGTATGAATTAGGACTGCCCCAGGGAGAGAAGCCCGGGGCATCCTCACCTGCATGCCGATCTATATGGCCAGATTCATATCTAAAGTTATATGACCGCACAATAACCAGACCTCATCTGCACTGAAATCATTTAATGACTTTTTACATCATCTTTTTCTTTTTTTCCAGTAAAAATAAGTCACGTATCCATGCCTTATAAAATTAGCCCTAACCCTCAACTCAGGGCAGCAGCAGGAGCTCTGCCTGCCCATGGGACCTGTCCCCATGCCAGCGGGGGCAGCAGCAGGAGCTCTGACTGCCCGTGGGTCCTGTCCCCATGCACCAGCTCTGCCTGCCCATGGGTCCTGTCCCCATGCCAGCGGGGGCAGCAGCAGGAGCTCTGACTGCCCGTGGGTCTTGTCCCCACACACCAGCTCTGCCTGCCCATGGGTCCTGTCCCCATGCCAGTGGGGGCAGCAGCAGGAGCTCTGACTGCCCGTGGGTCTTGTCCCCACGCACCAGCTCTGCCTGCCCATGGGTCCTGTCCCCATGCCAGCGGGGGCAGCAGAAGCGGTGGCAGCAGAAGCTCTGACTGCCCATGGGTCCTGTCCCCATGCTATTCCACACTATTCTCTAAATAAAAGAGCACTACTGCCAGACCTTGAGAGTCTAAGAAATCTTTCTTTCGACTCCTGGGCTCACCGACCCCGCATCAATCAATACACTTTTCCACAAATATTTCATAAATATAATATTTTTATTTCTAGGCAATAAAGCTCCCTTGCTCAACATATTGCTTACTATTTTATAAGCACTTAAAAAGCATGAGTCTCTGTGCCACAATCACATAATACCATTTGAGTCAGAAAACAATAGTCTTACAGTTAAGAGGGGAAATAAACAAGTAAAACAAATTATTAATCCTTTATAAATATATTTCCATGTTAGTAAAATAAGCTTCATCTGTGGCACATTCATTTGAAATATTTGCCCTTTTATTTCATCAATATCTAGGGGTTCCTATTATAGTTTCTATTTGTTTATAATGAAAAGCTCTTGTTAATACTTCCCCATTCGGTAGTTCTGGAGGACTGTTCAATTTCATGGAGGCAGAGAGGTGAACAATCACCTTCTAACCTTAATTTAAGCAAAGTTACATTTGCCTTCTGTGATGTTGTGATTTATCATAAGAAGTATTTCTTTGGTCTTTGCCCCACTTCTGGCACAGAGCTCCTAAAACCCTTGAAATTTCCTAGGTGCTAAAAGCCAAGAAGGCAAAAGGAAAGTCTTTTGTTATTCATAAGAAGCCCCTTTAAACTACACCTGAATTTATATTAATGAGGTAACTTTCCGAAAGCCCTTGAAGATGGGGCTGGTTGTCAGGGAAACCAACCACATGATTAGAGGGTTTTGGCTCACCCTAGACCTCCAGGGAGGGGGAGGGGCATGGGTGCTCGAGGTTGAATTAATCACCAATGGCCAGTAATTTAATCAATTGTGCCTGTGTAATGAAGATTCCATAAATACCCAGAAGGAGAGGGTTCAGAGAGCTTCTGGACTGGTGAACACCTGGAGGTGCTGGGAGGGTGGTATGCCTGGAGAGGACAAGGAGGCTTGGAGTCCTTTCCCACATAACTTGCCCTACGCATCTCTTCGTTGTCTGTTCATTTATATCCTTTAAAAATATTGGAAATAGTAAGTAAACTGTTTTCCTGGGTTCTGTGAGCTGCTCTAGCAAATTATCGAAACTGAGGAGGGAGTAGTGGGAACCTCCAATTTGTAGCCAAGTGAAACAGAAGTTGTGAGTAACCTGGGAACTTATTTCTTGTGAATGGCATCTGAATGAGGGGAGGTCTTGTGGAACTGAGCCCTTAACATGTGGGGTAGGTGCTAACTCTGGGTAGTCTTAGAACTGAATTGAATTGTAGAACACCCAGCTGGTGTCAGAGAATTGGTCAGTGTGGGTAAAAAAAACCCCACACAGCTGGTGTCAGAAGTATTGTGAGTGTGAGAGTAAAGGAAAACACATGAAATTTTTTTCTAGACACCTTCTAGGTGGTGTCTTCCAGCTTAATGATTTTATGAATTAGACTGTATCATCTTTTTAAAAATTTTATTATGATAAATACTATATTTAGCTACCATATCAAGATTATACTTCTACTGCTTTCTATCTTTAATATTAGGAGCAATGATTTACATTTATAGGGAGCATTTCTTTATGAAAATCGATCACTTTGAACACATACAAAAAGGTGACAGGACATGAGAAGTATGTTTTAAGTTTAGATTCATTTGGATTTGGAGGGACACTGTCAGGATAATTTTTCATACTTGCTGAAGATAAAAAAGGCCAAGAAACAAAAAGATGTCTGTGGACTTCCTCTATTGTCAAGATTAAAACAAAATTGTATACAAAAGAATTTATTTTAATAACCCACACAGTATACTTGTCTATTATCACAAATTTATACTATGACCTCACCCTTTATATGCCGTATGAAATTAAAATCAATGTAATATTTTCTTCTTCTCTATCAAAATAATCCAATCTGGACTCAGGCAATCTGAGTCCTTAGCTCTAACAGTGAGTGATCTTAGGTACACCCCTATTCTGATGGCACTCCTTTTCTTTATCTTTAATTTAAAATTTCCTATGATGGTCTTTACTGTTTAGGACTTATTCCATTATCTAATAACATTTTTTTTAGAATGCTAAAATACTGGCTAGCCTGAGTATCTGGGGTAATGCAATTCTAGCACTTCATAAATACAAAAAAGTATTTGGCCTGTTTCTCTTCCCTTAAGCAGGAAAGTTTCTTGGCAGCAGACTAAACAAAACAATGGTTCCAACTTAAACTATCTCATTTAATTTCTTCTAAACTTACTTTTCTCTTTTCATAATGCCATGTATAGCCACTTATCAAAACAACTAATAAACACTAATTATAATTGAAAAAGTAGCAAAGCATGCAAAAAAGGAAACATGGGAAAATCTAGCATACCTCAAAGGAAAATGTTCCAGATGTAACCACACAAAAAAGCACAAGCCTAATAATAATAATAGTAACAATAACAGTCATCTCATCCCAAAGTACATCCAAAAATAATTAGAATACTGCATTTGAGGAAAATCAATGAACAAAAATATTACACATTAGTAGAATGTGTGAATATTAGTGGGATACAAGCATCTTAGGGCCAGCAGCATTATGAAATGTGATGCTTATGCACAGCTAAATCACTGCAGAAAGTCAGAGAGGCCAGAGACACAGTGAGGCCACTAAGACTGTGCCTCCAAAACATCTGTTTCATTCACATTAATCATTTTTGAGCAAGTCAGGCAGGAGGTGAATTCATTAATATTCCCCAGAAAGAGAGAAAACAAAATAATACCGACAGCAAAGAAAAAGGCCTAAGTTCAAATAAATGTGACATCAGCCCCAGTATTTTTTGCAGATGTTCATATGTAGAAGACTGCCTCATTCAGGGTGAAAAGTATCTTGGAATATGCTAAAGTCACTCAGGTAAAAAGGCAGGATTCAATTACAGATCATAACTCCTGCAATATATTAACATTGTTCTCAGGTTCTAAAAAGACTGTTTTCCAAAGGCTTCACTGTTGTGTAGAGAGTGAAGTGCCACTTTATAGTTTACTCATTTGTCAAATGATAATACCCCCTTAACAGGGTTGTTCTGGGAAAAAAGCAGAGACTATACATGAAATTGCTTGAAAGAGTTAAAAAGAACTATAACAGTTGGATTGTAAGTAAAACTCTAAATTCAACTCAATGTAATACTTCCTTTTGGTACATGGAGTTGAAAATTCTATTACTTTCTGTTATAAAATATATCATATAAAAAAAGTATACAAAATGTATACATTCAGCTAAAAGAATAATAAGTTTTAATGGACACCCACTCATCTTAAGAAATGGAACATTCCTAGTACCTTTGAGACTCTCATGTGTCTATTCCTATCATATTTCTCTCACCCCACTCCACACTATCCTACATTTTGTGCTAATCACTACCTTGCTTTTATTTACAGTATTGACACATTTATATGTATCCCTAAACTATCTATCATCTATCTATCCATCTCTGTCCATCCATCGGCTTTTGACCTTTATATATATGGAATATGCTATGTCCTTAACTTCAACAGTATTTTTCTCAGAGTAATTTCTTGACATTATTATCCAATTTTGCATATACTCCCTAAGGTTAAAGGAATGTATTATACCCATTTAAGGCAGAAAAAATGAGGAAGAGTGAAGCTAGCAACTTGCCACATTATATGAGAGGACAATAGACAAATCTTTCTACAGTAATTCTGAAAGTAAAACAAACCAGTGACCATCTCAGAGCTTTATAGCACATTCATATTTTTAGCTTCAATTAAAACTAAAACATTTCTCTAGTACTAGAAGCACAATTAATATTTTTAAATTGACTTTACATAGCTGATATTTTTTGTTTTCATATTAAAGGGGAAGTTATATTAAAGTGTACTGATATTGTAAAAGCCCTAAACAATATTCAAATATAGTCCTTAAAAGGAAAACAAGAACAAAGTAAATCAAGTATATGAAGAGAAGATTTGTTTTCCTCTTAGGGAATAGACTATTAGAAAACAGATAGGCATACTATGAAATACTCTAATTAGAGAAGATGGCTCTTTAAATAGGTAATTAATCTGACACTAATCAATCCAAAGATATCATTCACCTGAGCAAGTGGTGGAAGAATCTTCTTGCATATTTGCTGATTTGGTCTCTATATTCCAATACAGTTGAATCCAGGAGTGGTCTTGTTGGAGCATAGAAGGTTCCAAGGCTTGCCTCAAGCTGTGCTGTGGAATTCAAACACAGCAGCACTAAAACAAGTGAAATTCCTTCAGTTACAACAGAATACTCATGTTTGCAGTCAGGCAGGTTTTGCAAACTTGGATGAAATGTGAGCTTTTTGCAGGAAGGATGAAATTAAAATATGACAGCTGGTACAAAAACAAACCTGTGTACAAACTTTCACTTGAGGCAAAGCTGACAATGACTCTAAGCAACAAAAAGCTGTCAAAGCTGAAAAAATCCATAATGAACCAACCTCTCACCACAAATGGGTAATTAAAACAGTGACTCATCAAAGTAACACAGTTTGAACTAGTATTTCCAGTAAAATCAACTCACAGTGTACTCAACATTTACACTCTTTAGCTGAAAGGAGAAAACTAACCTTTCCGCATTGGGGAATTGAAATCAGTATTAGAAATGTTCAGAAAATAATATAAATTAGAATAGCCTTATTGGAGTAATATCTTGCTCTATTAAAATTTTAAAGAAATGGTGAAAGTTCCTATAACTTCCCTAAATCCTGTCGTAAACAATAAGATTGTTGGTTTTGTCCAAGTGTGAAAGCTGACACCCCTGGGAGGGGTGACATGCTAATCTGCTCTCTGTCAACTGACACCTTCGTAGGAAAGAAGGATCAGAGAGCAGGTTTTGATAAACCAGAGGGACAGAGATTGGGAGAAAAAGGCACATATTGCCTACTTCACAATTTTACCAAGACACGCCTATGGGGTTGTGTTTCCTCCCAGAAATACCTGGAAATTATATAATTACCATAATGGCAAGAGTATGAGTATGTATGAGAACACAACAGTTCACAGTAAGACTCCACTGATTTTTATGCTACTAGCACTGGGTCAAATAAACAATTCCTTATTTAGCAAAACTCTTTCGTTTTAGGCTTATTTGGGTTTGAAAGTATTAAATACCTCATCAGAGTAATTGCTATGGACTTGGCTAAGCTGTTAGCAATTTCTTTTTTTCATCTCAAATCTAGACAGTAAAGTAAGGTGAACTTTAGGGGTATTTCCTTTCAAAGCAGCAGTCAATTTAGATTAAAATTGAATACAGCAATGAATTGTGAAAACAAGCCAGATTCTCTTGCCGTCGCTTGTTTTCTTGACAGCATGTTTCGCACATCTCAAATGTTCAAGAGGCTACATGGAATACTGGTTAACTCCCAGCACAGTTATAGATTCATTAGATAGCCCAGCTTGATGTTTAAGGCAGAAATGAAGATCTCAAAGATAACCACAACACAGCTACAAAGAGCTCACTGGGTTCCACTAATAAAAGGAAAACAAATTACCATGTCAAATTTGTTAGATTCAGAGAGAATAAATCTCAATAGAGGAAAATTCTGAATATTTTAGAAATGCGTTTTGCAGTTACTTGGGGGAAAAATGCATATACCTACTTAAAATTTACATATTCTGATAGCCCAGCATCATGCAAGCATTTTATTCTAATAGCCTAGTATCATATAAGCTTTTGTGTGTGTGTGTGTGTGTGAGTGAAGAAGATTGTCCCTGACCTAACATCTGTTGCCAATCACCCTCTTTGTGCTTAAGGAAGATTGTGCCTGAGCTAACATCTGTGCCAATCTTCCTCTATTTTATATGTGGGATGCCACCACAGCATGGCTTGATGAGTGGCATGCAGGTCCACGCCCAAGATCTGAACTCACCAACCCTGGGCCACTGCTGATGCAGAGCATATGAACTTAACCACTACACCACCAGGCTGGCCCCTAGTACAAGCTCTTTATTGCCCTATCTCGCCCCTACAGTTCCTTGAAATATCCTTTATTAAGGCAAGAATCTGATAATGCCCATTTGTGAATTTCCTAATAATCTGTCTTACAACACAGAAATCTTACAATACAAATTCACTAAGATGCTAGCAATTTCTCAGTGTCCTGAGAGTCAATATCTTCTCTTCTCCATGTTTCTTCAACTCTAAATTTAGGGTCTTTTGTATAGATTGTGTGTACTATAATAGGCTTCCTTTAAGGACTCTACTTCTTTTTTTTTTTTTCTACTATGTACCCAATCTTGAGAATGTACCAATACTAGGAAATAATTACTTGAGATAACTGCAGGCAGAAATATTACAGTAATACCTAGTACCCTAAAATTTTAAAGTTAGACTCTTCTTTTTATTTTTAACTAATATTCATCAAGTACATATTGTGGGCCAAGCATTGTGCTAGGCATTTTCTCATTGTAGAAGTACTGGAATCTCCATAGATAGGTTGAACTAGCTTAAAAAGGACATTCAATTAACATTACATAAACATTACTGTGGGCCTCCTATGAGTTGGGCCAAGTCCCATGATGCAAACTTCCTGAAGGAACATGTTCTTACTGATTATTCTTCTCTAAAATTACTAAAATAAAGGTTATGTACAGAATTCTATCGAAACAATCTGTTTACTTTGGGAAACATAAAGTGGAATAAGAAAATCTAAAATCAAGCAAAGAAAATAGTAGGGAAAAAAAGCTCTCTAGTAAAGATCTTTTGACATATTTCCTGTTTTCCCTACCTTGTAAATTACCTAGGGACAGTTTCTCATTGTCCATGATATCCCACCATTAATGTCAGTGCTTATTGCAAAGATTTGAAATAAAGATGCAAATAGAAGAATGTTTAGGTGCAATTTACATTAAGTGAATAAATAACTCATAATAAAAACAACATATACTGGATAATTGGCAAATATAAAAATTAATTTCATTATTGTATGTGGCACTTTTTTTTCTTTTTTTTTAACAGCATCTTATCTCTCTTTAACAATAAACATCTGAGATCATATGGGCAAAATTACTAACTGAGGGAAGGTAGGAAAATTCAAGCAGGCAGAAGGGAGAGGTATCAGAAGTACAAGTTAGAATGAAAACAAGAAGGAATAGCCTGGGCTGCAATTCTCATACACACAATTGTGGGAAGGACAATTGTCTGGACAAAGGATTGAGGTGTGAGAGAAAAATTTATTGATATCTAAAGTGAAGGAGGAATAAAGATCTTTGGGGCCCTTTGTCTACCAGACCCTAGAGACTACATGAAATTCTTGATCAAAGTTTGAAATCTGAGCATATTCCACACAAGAACTTAGACCAAAAGGTACAATGACTGCATTGTGAGTTCCACCATAGGTATATACAGAAAATTTGTTCTTTATGTTGACAAATACTATACAGTAAGTACCGTATGGGCGTAATTATTTGATATCTGATCTTGTCAGTTTTAAATAGGGCATTAACATTTTTGTCTTTTAATCTCTAATTAAACATAACTCAAAAAATAACTGACTCAATAAAATGTACTTTATATATATACAAAACCCATTTATGAATTATAGTTCAAGTCTGACCTTCTCTCTCTGGAGTGAGCTTTTGTCTAAGAAGATGGTTTACAATGGCACTCATGCTGATAAAGCACTGGTGGCCCAGGGTGTCCCAGTTCATACTGCTCAGGATGTTTATCGCCTCACAGATCTCATCACAGTGAATGTACTGGAAGATGATGTCTACCAGGCCTAGCTGTCCTCGCGTGAAGATACCTGTCACAAAAAATGTAAAACCAAGTGAATCTTTTAAAAATAAAAAGTAGTATAGCACAATTAACTTTTCCATAAAGGAAAAAACCAGTAATCATTTCTTACATTATGCTAGAAATGTGGGATTTTGGGGACCTAGAGTAATATTGCTTTGTGGTTAAATCTTCATTTTAAATACCACCTACCAACTCTGTCTAGCTTATGCTTATCATTCAGTCACATATTAACTAATTTAGACTCCACATAATCAAACTGCTTAGACTAAAAGTGAATAAAAATGAGAAGAATTTTTAGGTAGACCACAATAGCTAACCCTACATCTTTCATCAGTCATGTAGGTCTCTGTTGTATACCTTTAAAGACAGGGTTTTGATGCGAATACAATTCTTATTGACCAGCTTTATTAGCTTTAGGTTGCACTCAGCCCTATGTACTTGGGTGGGGAGTGGGGGGTACAAGTATCCATGACAAAAATGATGTGTCTATATAAATGCTTCTAAGTCTGTTTTTATTAATGAGTACTCTCAATTGATAGTTTCTTCATAGATACCACATATCAATTTATTTCAAATTGGCATTTAGAGATTATTCTCTTCTATTAAAGAAATGATCAGCATTAATCCTGCTATTGATCCCCTTCATAACTAGTATTTGCTATAAAATATCTTGGTACAATCTAAACACATTGTTTACCCTTTTAAATGAAAAAAGAAATCTATTTCTAATCTTAGAGGAGAAAGAGCACAAAACAAGGGGGGGGGGCATTCTGTTCTAGTTTTATTTTATCATCTTTTACATATTGCTTATCTCATTTGAAACTAACAATTTCTGTGTAATCAAATGATAAGGTACTAGGGCTTTTAAGCAGGTTATTATTTTTTAATCTTTTAAAAATGGCTGGCTGTAAAGTCTTTTATCTTCAGCCAATGTTTACTGATTTCAGTGAGTTTACAAAAATTTCTCAGTACAAATAATTGCAAAGCTAAATGAGAAAATGTATGTGAAATTATTTGTAAGCTGTATAGTATGTAAAATATTACTGCAATTCTTCTTTTCATTACTATCATCATCATCATCATCATTTAACTGGAATAGTATAGGTTTCTGGATTTTAAAAGATATATTAGTTCATGAGAAAGATGCTGAAATTCTTCATACTAACTTCAAGTCACATCAAAATGAGAACTTGTGCTATATCTAACAGGACTCAACTTGATAGGGAATCTGGGGAATTGCCTTGACTACACTAAGCAATGAGACATCATTATTCTTTTTGTGTTGGGAGAACCAATGAATGCTACTGTTCAAAAGGCTTCATGAGGCTGCAGTCAAGCACTTGGAAGTCCTCATAAATCAGGGTGTTTTCTTGGCAGTAAATCTTAATGTGTGGGAACTTTGCGTGAAAACGAAAATATCTGACATTTGTTGACTCTATCCCCTATGCAATACTTCTAGCAAGAGAAAGAACTGATTTGTTGAGAAGACTAACATATAATCATAATCAAATTGTGCAAAAGGTCATAAAGAGAAAATCTTTAAAGGCAGACAAAGAAAAAGGACATATAACATATAGAGAAACAAAGATATGAATAATTACAAACTTTGCTTCTGAAATTATGCAAGCCAGAAGACAACAGCACAGCATTTTTCAAATGCTGAGAGAGAAAAATGAATTAGCCTAGAATTCTATCCCTTTATAATAAAGAGTTGAAAATTCCTGAAGATAACAATCTTAAACATACCTAATAATAGAGCTCTGAAATAATAAAGCCAAAACTGACAGAACTAAAAGGAAAAAAAGTCAAATCTACAATTTCTGTTGGAGATTTCAGCACTTCTCTCTCGCTGTTGAGAGAACATGTAACTAGAACATCAGTAAAAATAGAAAATACTTGAAAAACACTATCAATGAATTTGACCTAACTGACATTTATAAAACACTGCACTCAACAACAGCAGAATACACATACTTTTTAAGTGCACACAGAACATCAACCAAGAGGGTACATATTCTGGGTGATAAAACAAGTCTCAATAAATTTAAGTATCTTGAAATCATACAGAGTGAGTCCCCTGACTCACCCTTAATTAAATTAGATTAGATATCAATATAGAAAGATATCTGGAAAATCTCCAAATATTTAGAAATTAAGCAACATTCTTCTAAATAACCTATGGATCAAAGAAGAAATCACAATGTAAATCAGATAATATTTGGAATGAATAAAAATTAAAATATAACATCAAAATGTGTGAGATGTAGCTATAGCAGTACTTAGAGGGAAATTTCTAGCTTTAAATGTTTCAATTAGAAAAGAAGAAAGGTCTAAAATCAACAATCCCAGCTTCCACATTAAGAACCTAGGGAAAGAAGAGCAAATTAGAACCAAAGTAAATAGAAGGAAGGAAATAATAAAAATAATAAATAGACCAAAGAACAAAAATAAACACAAAATACAGAAAATTAATGAACTCAAAAGTTGGTTCTTTGAAATGATAAGTAAAATTGACTAATCTTTGCCTAATTTGAGAAAAAAACAGAAGACATAACTTACCAATATGAGGAATAATCACTACAGAACTACAGACATTAAAAATAATATGAATAACTTTATACAGATAACTATAACTTAAATGAAATGGATTCCTTGAAAGACCCAAACTATCAAAGCTCCTTCAAGAAGGAACAGATAACCTGAGTGACCCTATATTATTTAAATTTGACTTCGTAGTTTAAAAACCTTTACATATACACATACATACACACAACCTACATGTCCAGATGCCTTCACTGGTGAAATCTCTCAAACATTAAAAGAAGAAATCATATCAACTCTACACAATGCAAAATATAAGAGGAGGGAATACTTCCCAACTCATTTCATGATGCTGGCATTACACTGATAGCAAAAATGACAGAGACATTACAGGAAAAGAAAAAGAAAAAGAACACTACAGACCAAGATCTCCCATAAACAGAAACAAAAATGCTTAACAAAATATTAGCAAATCCATCAATATATTAAAAAGATAATACATTATGAACAAGAGAAATTTACCCCACAAATGCAAGGTTGCTGAAACATCTGAAAACTAATCAATATAATTCACCATATGACCAGAAAAAACATATAATCGTTTCAATAGATGCAGAAAAGCACTGGAAAAAATGCAACGTCCACTCAAGATAACATATCTCAGCAGACTAGGAATAGAAGGGGACTTCCTCAACTTAATAACATCATACCTATAATGAAAGACTAAATGCTTTCCACCGAAGATCAGAAACAAAGCATGGATGTCCTCTCTTGCCACTTCTATTAAATATTGTACTGAAGGTCCTAGCTAGTATAGTAAGGGAAGAAAAAAAATAAAAGGGATATAAGTTGGATACGAAGATGTAAAACTTTTTAATTGCAGTTGTCATAGTCATCTATGTAGAAAACCTTAAGGAATATACAAAGAAAGTTACTACAACTAAGAAATGAATTTAACAGGGTTGCAGGAGACATGGTCAATATTTTAAAATTTTATTTCTATATAACCCCAATGAACAATTAAGAATTATAATTAAAAATACCATTTACAATAGCATCCAAAAACATGAACAAAATATGTACAAGTTCTTTACACTTAAAACTATAAAATACTACTGAGAGGAAATTAAAGAAAACCTGAATAAATGGGGAGAGATACTGTGTTCATAGATCAGGAGACTCAATATTGTGAAACTGTCTTTCTAACCCAAATTGATCTGTAGATTCAACATAATCCCAATCAAAATCTCATCAGGTGTTTTTGTAGAAACTGACAAATCAGTTTTAAAATTTATATAGAAATTCAAAGGATCTAGAATAGCCAAAACAATTTTGAAAAAGAAAAACAAAGTTGGAAGACTAACAGTATCTGATTTTGACACTTACTATGAAATCACAGTAATTAAGAGTGTGCTACTCACTTAAGTATAGACATATTGATCAGTGGAAGAGAAGAGGTCTACTCATAGACACACACACACAGGGTCAAGGTGACTCAATGGAGAAAGGATATTCTTTCCAACAACTCGTGCTGGAACAATTGAATATTCATGTTAAAATATTAATTTCAACTCATACTTCACACCATATGCAAAAAGAAATAACTTGAAATAGACCATAAACCTAACTTTAAGAGCTAAAAACCATAAAACTGCTAGAAGAAAGGATTAGACAAAGATTTCTTAGATAGGACAGAAAAAGCACAAGTCATAAAGAAATTTAAGAATTGGAGTTCATTAAAATTAAAACTTCTGCTACCCAAAACACACTGTTAAGAAAATGAAAAGGTAAACTAAAGACCAAAAAAAATATTCAAAATACTAGTATCTTACAAAGGATTTGTATTCAGAATATATAAAACCTCTTACAACTCAATAATAAATAAACAATCCAATTAAACTTGGACAAAAGACTTGATATACTTCATCAGAGAAGATATATGACAAATAAACACATTAAAAGATGCTCAACTCCAACAGACATCAGGGAAATGCAAATTAACACACTAGACACCCACTAGAATGGTTAAAATTAAAAAGACCATTAATACCAAGTATTAGTGAGAATGTGGAGCAACTGGAACTCCAAAATAGTCAGTTTCTTCTTAAATTAAACCTACACTTAGCATATGGCTCAGCCATTCTACTCCTAGGTTTTTCCCAATAGAAATTAAAATATATGTCCATACAAAGACTTGTACATGAAAGTACATAGCATTTTTAGTGATTTTACCTTAAATCTAGAAACATCCCAAATGTCCTCAACATGCAAAAAGATATTCAAGTTGTGGTTTATCTATATAATGGAATACTACTCAGTAATATAAAGGAAAATTTACAGATATACACACCAATATGGAAGATTCTCACAGATTAATGCTGAGTGAAAGCAGCAAGACACAAAAAGAGTACCTATTTTATGAGTCCATTTCTATGAAATTCTAGAAAAAGCAAATCCAATCTGTAATGATAGAAAGCAGATCAATGCTCTTTAGCTTTGAGGGAGCAAAAGAGTTGAGAGAATTTTGAAGGGCGATAGAAATGTCTATATCTTGATTGTGGTGGCAATCATGAGGATATAAAGGTGTCAAAATTCATTGAACTGTACATTTAAAATGGGTGTATTTTATTTTATATAAATTATACCTCAATAAATTTGATTTAAAAATTTATCATCACTCTAGTTTGAAGAAAGCAGAATGCTGTCAGGAATAGCAATCCATTTCAAATGATATGAGATCCAATTTTAAGATGACTAGGCATCTAATAGAGTATCTGATACTTCTTTCCAGCAATAAATTACCACCAGTTACCACCTGGGTAATGTATAATATTTAAATAACTCGTTCAAAATAAATCTTTTGAAGAAAACATACTCCTTACAGAAGTTCTAGGAAAAAAATCATACTACTTGTTTTTTAGACAGAATGACAGTCACACATGCACACAAACATGTTGCCTGTGATTTTCAAAGTCCTATGAGAGAGAAGAAGATAGCTTTAATCATTTCTAGTATAATATTATCACTTGAACATTGAATCTTTTCCTAACTTTGTAGGCTCTGTGAGAGCATTGTGGGGGCACTCCAGGTAGATGGAATACTATCAACACCACCATGGGAAGGAGGTAGTGTGAAAGCACATGCCACGATTGAGGAGCTACACTAATGCACCACAGCTGGGGAGTTGAAGCCTGAGAAGCAGACAAGGGCTTATTAACCACTGAAGGACTTCCGGCTGGAGAATCCATGACCAATTCTGCATTGTTAGATTACTCTGGTGGCAGTTCAGGGGAATAATTGGGGGGTGGGATGGGAAGATTGGAAGGCAGAAGATTACAGACAGAGGCCCATTACTTGATCATGGTAAAATAGGGAGGGTCTAGATTAAGGTAGTGACAGCAAGGCTGAATAAATTGAGGTGTTTTGACAGTATTTAGAAGGCAGAATTGATGGGATTTGGTCACTGATTGAATATGGCAACAGGGGTCAGGGAGGATTCTAAGATGACTTCTGACTTGGGATTCCATCTGAATAACTGCACCATCCACCAAAATGGAAAACACAAGAGAAGCAGGTTTGGGAAGAAAGACAATGACTTCATGTCTGTACATTATGAGTCTGAGGCATCTGTGAACATCCAAGGGGAGATATCCAGTAAGCCAGGTGGATGTGAGTCACGAGTGGTGGGGTGCTAAGTCAGAGATGGGATAGTGAAATTAAAAATAAACTCAATCTGGCACAGGCCCTGTGGCCGAGTGGTTTAAGTTCGTGTGCTCTGCTTTGCTGGCCCAGGGTGCTCCGGTTCGCATCCTGGGCCTGGACCTACACACCGCTCATCAAGCCATGCTGTGGTGGCATCCCACATGGAAGAGCTAGAATGACATATAATTAGGATATACAACTACGTACTGGGGCTTTGAGGAGAAAAAAATAAAATAAAATAAACTCAATCTGTGTAAAATGGTAGGAGGGGTAAATATGGAGTCTTAGAGAGCCTCAACATTTTCATGAGTAAGCAGAAGAACATTAAAAAAGTGATGAAAAGTTGCATCTGGGGTCATAGAAGGCAAGAGCAATGAGAGATCTATGACGGCAGAAGTGGTCAGCAACTATCAAATGCTGAAAAGTCATCAAGTAACATAAGAGAAATATATATATCAAGTAGGAAGTCACTGGTGACCTTTCCAAGAGCAGTTCCAGGAGAACACTGAAGACATGAGCCAGAACATGGTGCTCTGAGGAGTGAATGGGAAGTGAAGAACAAAGAAAGTCATGCTCACTATTTCAATGAATTTGACTATGAAACGAGGGTGAATATTTGATAAATAACAGAGGGAAAACAATTTTAAGGAGGGCTGTTTGTTTGTTTTATGATGTGGCTTGAGCCTATTATCTGCTGATGTAGCAAGATTCATGGGGGGAGTGACAACAAAGTAAAGGCGTCAAAGGGAATGTTGTGGGGTCCAGAGTGGAACTAGTGGTGGAACTAGTCTTGGACAAGAGGAAGGGCTCCTTTTCCATTGAATTGAGAAGGAAAGATTTATGTCCATGTGGATAAGTGGTTAGTTGGTCAGGTGGGTGGGTGGGAAGATGGGTGGTGAGGAGAAGATAAACTTAATGAAGTGCCAATTTAAAGGTGAGATTCTCTGATGAAGGTGCAGGGAGCTGATAATGTGAGTTTAAAGACAGCAGTGAAGGTTGGAAAAGGTACTGATAAGAATGGAAAAGCTTTAATATCTCAGTAGTATAATTAGGGACTCCTCTTTTTAAAATTAATCTCAGTCCCTATATGTGGAAATATGGGCTAATGACCATCAGGTAAAGAAATTCTGATTATATACTGCCTTATATAAAACAGTACCTCTTGGCTTCCATGTGGGAAGATGACAATGCTAGCTCCCTCCTGAGGAAGACATGTTCTTGCCATTCTTCTAATAACAGCGGTGATGGCCTTTTAATCCCCAATCCATTTGTGCGATGATTATAAGAATTTAGAACAGAAGTTCTAGCCTTGGAGCAGAGTTTTCCTTCAACATTACACTAACTGACCTATTCTAAGAATCAGACTCCAAAACTCTTAGCATATTGGCACCAGCCACTGCCACGTTTACATATGACAGCACTCTATTTTAAACTATGATCTATCTCAGCTTCTTAAATTATAAGCTACACCTTTCATGTCAAATTTTCCAGACTTGCATAACAAGCATATGAAAAAAATCCTCATAAATGCTCCCTAGTGAGGAAACTGCACATGCAACTACCTGTTTATATATGCAGTAACTTGAATTATACATGAAAATTCCACATGGATGCCCAGAATCAGCACTGTGTTAATTCAAGAAGTATATTAAAATTTTTGGATGTATTTAGTAGCAGATCCTAAGAAAAATCTGTTCTTTAAACAGGGTTTTCTTTAAAAAAAAAAAAACAAAAAACAAAGATCTGTTAGTTGGAATCTGCTGTTTCAAGGAATATACTCTTCCTAAGAAAAATAAATAACCTATAATAAACATTAATCTTATAATACATTTAAGAAATTCTGGGAAACTTCCTATTTAGATCTTTTAAAGAGCCTGTAAGACTGTAAAATTTCCCTATCCTATAAAACTTGAGTCATATTAAAAATAAAATTTAAATGATAAATGTCAGTTGCAGAAGTTATCACCTTTTCATTTGAAAGCTTGACTTCTATTGGATAATTCTCTTCCAAGAGACCTTCTTGGGAAAAAGAGGTGACAGCCAACTCATTGCCTAATTGATTTAGGAACAGTGCCCAGGGAGACAGTCCAATTAAGTTTACAAGCTGGCAATTAGCAGGAAGCCCTATAAATCCCTACACTGAGAGCCTGTTTACTTTAGTAAGAAGGCAAATGTGCTAGAGATAGGAAGAGAAAGCTGTGCTTTTTGCAAAGCTGTTGTGAATAGGCCCACAAGGGAAGGCTGAAGAAAAGCTAGGTATACGTGGGCAGACAGCCTTCTGTTTGACAGGTAAGTGGGTAATTTATAGGGAGGATGTGTGTGTGTGCATGTGTGTTTTAACAGATATGCAAAACATCTAACATCCACTTTACTGAGTGTTGCGTATGGAGACATACAACTGTTAAACATGTAGTCCGGCAAAGTAGAACTAGATTATCTCATAACAAATGAGATTCCAAACTTTTTTTCTTGGACAATATTAACATTATGAATAGACTTAGTTGCATTTTTATGATGGAGAAAGAAAATAACCCTTGCATTATATCCATCATATCTTTCAGGTTAATCAAGTCATTTTCACTGGATTTATTTCATGTGTTCCATTTCAGAGGCAAGTAGATCCATAAAAAAATTAAGTAAACCGACAGTTATTTAACAAACACTACGTCTTTAAAAACTTAACTTTATACCACAGAGCCAAAACTTCCTGTAAGAAGTTTTAAAAATGTATTTATTTTTCTATGTTTTCAAGTAGCAGTAATGTGCATTAACTAAAATCTGTTTTTTTAAATGTAAGTGAGGTTTTCTCAAGAATGTTAAATTATACAAAACTACTTAAAGAATACTATATATTTCAGGGCATAGCTAGTAATGAAAAACTACAAAAAAATAAATCATAATAAAATTTTGTTTTAAAGTTTCCTTTTTGAAATGGGCTACGTTAATATATATTTTTCATACTGTTGATAAACGCTTTTGAAAATTTTTATCTAAAAGGGAAACAAAAGAAGTTATACATATATCTTTAGCAAATTCTAACTAAACATTTGCTTTCCCTTCTTTTAAAATACTTGTTTTACACTATTCCAATCTGGGAAGCAATGGACACCTATAATCTAAAATTATTCTATTTTTTTTTTTGAGGAAGATTAGCCCTGAGCTAACATCTGCCACCAATCCTCCTCTTTTTGCTGACAAAGACGGGCCGTGAGCTAACATCTGTGCCCATCTTCCTCTATTGTACGCGAGACGTCTGCCACAGCATGGCTTGACAAGCAGTGTGCATAGGTCCGCACCCAGGATCCAAACCAGCGAACCCTGAGCCACCAAAGCAGAATGCGTGAACTTAACCACTGTGCCACTGGGCTGGCCCCTAAAATAATTTTAATTAAAAAAGTATTACATTCTTACAATACAGAATTTTATTAATGGATATAAAAATACTTTTAAAATTTCTTAAGGAGTTTTTTTAGTAGACGGTTTACTTTGGAAAGTCTCAAATGTGAAAAGTTCAGGCTTTTTATTCATCACAAAGGATAATTAGTGTAATTTCCAAATTCTTCAATATCTAATCTTCCTTGACATTTAAAAAATCATCCACAAAGCTTTCTTAAGGAAACTATATGAAATGTTTGAAAGGCAAGCATATTTAGGGGATGACAAACAGAAAATCTACATTCCGACAATAGTTTTATTATCTTAATTATGATGTCACCATCATAAACACTTTAATTTACTTACTCACCAATTTCCTTGACTTACCAAGTTTAAAGAGAAGTACACCCAAAGGTCCTCTGTCAAACCTGAGGAAGAGGAGATCATAGATGTCCCCACTGTCAGGCTTCTGAGAAACAACCTGAGGAGCTATCCACTGCATTTGAACAAGACCACTGGAAACATCAAAGAATTTATTGAATTGCAGAGTCTCCCTGGGTGAGCGGTCTTCAGCCAAAAGCTGGATGTTAATAGGGGACAGAGCCATATCAAAAATTTGCAGCTCCCCTTGGTTGCTGCCAACTAGCAGAATGGAGCCAGTTGGGTGGCAGCATATTAATGAAGGCAAAAGTTCAGCCTGGGCTAAGAGAGTCACTCTACGGTGAGTTTCATAAAGAATTAGTGAAGAATCTTCACAGCCCAGAATCAGTTTGTCTTCAGTAACATTCCTGCAGCAGCTAATGGCCTTTGATCTTAGTGGTATTCTGGTGACTGATACACAATGGATTTTATTCCGAACATATTCATAGATGCAGCTGTCAGCCATGGGCTCTTTGTCTACACTGATGGAGCGCTCCACTGTCAACACCTGATAAGGCTGTTTGGTGCCAAAGCGAACATCCAGTGGATCCCATTCTGTGCGGACAGAACTCAGAACCTGTAAGAAATGTATCAAGTGTGTTCACATAGACCTTGGTTTTTCTTCAGTTGTCACACATAGGCCTGCATATTAATCCAGCATCCTGTTGTTGTTATCACCTTAAACATCAACAACATATAAGTATGTATGTGTATATGTATGTGTGGTGTATATAAATCTCACATAGAATACATATATAAATATATATAGCACAGCTGCAGAGATTAAACTATAAGATTTTAACTTTAACATTTTGTTTCACAAAGTCTGTAAATAAGACAAATTTGTCTCACAATTTATAAAAACTAATAAGGTGGGCTTTTAGTAAAATAATATGATTAGCAGACTATCTAAAAAGTCAGAAGTTTGATTTTTAACAGGATGAATAAAGTACTTTAAACAATTTAGCTAATCTCCTCCTCAATTCTGAAATTATGGATAAATTACTGACCAGAAATAAATTTCTAATTAGTAGGGCAGGATAGGCAAAGGAACAAACTTTAGAACTCTGTTAACGGTTTTGTAGAAATATTTTACTATCAGAAAGGATATGTAGGGTTGTTAAGTTGACAAATGACCAACAGAAAGAAAGAATAATATAACGCACCGGTTTTAAAATAAAACAATTAAGACCTAGTAAGTATATGACTTGTCAATACTGATGAAGTAAAATTTTAAAAGCATCTTTGGTATAAAAAGGAAAGGCTACAAGAAACATCTAGGCAGAAGAAAAAAGAAATAAAACAATAGGCCCTTCGTTTTATTCATATGTAAATGTCAGAGACCAAGAACCTGGAGAGTGGTATTAAAGAGGGTATTTTCTAACACTTTGTCAAAAACTTCAAAATCAGGTGTAGAACATTAAAAAACACATTTCCACACATATGATAATATTTCATAGAACTACACACACACACAAATTGCATGTAAAATCTGATGAAATCCAACTAAGGCCTATATCTGAGTTAAGAATTTCGTTCTGTGATCATTTTCTAGGATTTGACAATGTACTGTGGTAATGTAAGATGTTATCACTGGGGCAAACTGGGGGGAAAGTACAGGAAAGGAAATCATTTTTAGAAATTTTAGCAATTATTTTAGCAGTTTTTTGAAAGTCGAACTATTTCAAAATTAAAAGTTATTTTTTTTAAAAAAGCACATACAGCTATCAGAAAGGATCTGTAGGGTTGTTAAATTGACAAATGACCAACAGAAAGAAAGAATGATATAACACACACACATATTTACAGCTATGTTACATAGTGCTGGCTTGGAGAGGTGATGGGGGGTGATGTGAATTGTTTTAAAAATCCATCCTATACGTCACGATCAAACTAATCTCCTAAACTAAATGTTTTTCTCATACTCCCATGTTCAAACCCTTCATTGGCTACTTACTGACTAATGAATTAAATTTTTATTCTTCTGCCTGGAATGCAAAACCCTGTAGGACCCATATCCAACTCCTTCCCTCCCTCACACTCTCTTTCCTGCTTTTTTTCCTTTATTGTCTAATAAATATTTGAGTATGAGCTATAATTGCCAGGCATTGGTCTTGGGTCCTAGGGAGACAGCAGTAAGTGCTCACCCTCAGAGAACATACACTCTAATGGCTGAAGGTAAGGCAACAATTCACAAGCAAACATACACATAGGATATTAATGATCCTATTTATGTACTTCCTAAGTACTATGAAGAAAAGTAAAGCAAAGTAAGGGGAATGGGGAGTGGCAGGAGTGTGTAGGGGGCAATAGAGACATGAGGACACGCCTCTCTGATAAAGGTGATGGGAAGAAGTGAAGGGTGAGCCATGCAGCTGTCTGGGAGAAGAGAGCTCCAGGCAGAGGAAACAAACAGCCTGAGGTGGCGCTCTTGGCCTGGTCAAGGAACAGCAGAGACCAACAAGGCTAGAGGAGAGGGAGGAAGAAAGTAGTAGGAATTGGGGGAAGGGAACAGATTATGTAGTAGCTTGTAGTCCACTGTAGGGACTTTGGCTTTTTATCTAAATGAGATGAGAAGCCATAAGCAAAGGAGGAACATGATCTGACTTGCAAAATCTAGTGTTATATCCTGCAGTCTCCCTTCATTACTCTATTCTGAGTTCAAACTAAACCCTGTGGTGCCATTTTCCCAGCTCTATAACTTGTTACATTAATTAAACAAGGAGGCCATTAGACTGATAGAGCTCTAATGCTTTGGGAGCCTACATAAGCAAACCAAAATCTATGCCTGTAAATGCCTCAAATTTACAAAATCAAAACACTAAGGATAACCAATCACAAACAGCCAACCAGGCTTTAAGCTATAGCCAATCAAATAATTTTCTTTCTTTGTTTCTGCACTTTCTCTATATAAGTCTTTCCCCTGGCTCCTGTTGGCCTAGTGCTCCTAACCACTTCCAGTTTGGCACTGCCCAACTGGAATAGATTTTTGCTCAAACTCACTCTTAAAATTTTTAATATGCCTCACTTTATCTTTTAACAACTTCACTGATGTCCTTTGCCTGAAATCCACACTCTTCACCCAAATAGACTCAGTTTTTCCTACCAACCGTACTTACCCTTGAAGAACTAGACCAAATGCTATCCCAGTTTCTGGATTCCTTCCAGCTGAACGGCATCCTTCCTTCGATCTCATCTCCATACCCCCTTCCCAACCCCAACTTGGCCAATGACACTCTTGTGACATTTGACCTTTTATTTACTTTTGATATTTGGTCATATGTACTTATTTTCACTGTACACTTAAAAAAATAAACTGTCTCATCTATTTTACTGTTAGCTATCTAGTAGCTGTCTTCCCAGCTAAATGGCTGAAATTCATTTAAGGGAGGAAAATGTCTTGCATGGCATAATTAAAGATACCATAAGGGGCTGGCCCCATGGCTGAGTGGTTGTGTTGGCGCACTCCGCTTCTGCAGCCCAGGGTTTCGCCAGTTCGGATCCTGGGCACGGACATGGTACCGCTCATCAGGCCTTGCTGAGGCAGCGTCCCACATGTCACAGCGAGAAGGACCCACAACTAAAATATACAACTTTGTACTGGGGGGATTTGGGGGGGGGGGAAGATACTATAAAAGTTTAAAGATTAAAAAACACTTAAGTGTGCATAAATTTCAGTAAAGAGTAACTCCACCAATAATAAGCAGCAGCAAGAAAATAAGGTCCTGGGCTAATCACTTTTCATACATTGTTTTATTTAACCTTTTCAATACTCTAAAGTTAGGTATTACAATCTACATTCTAGAGGTAAGGAAAATGAGGGTCAGAGAGATGGTATAAATTGCCCTTGGTCCAAAAGTTAATAAGTGATAGAGCTGCAGTTTGAATCCAGGTCTGTTTGACTCTAAAAAAACCAAGATCTCTGCAAGATACACTGCCTCATACACACAAGTAATTAATAAGTTTACACGAATGTACAAGCTCTTCCTCTATGTGATCAGAGGAAGGAATGAGAAGAACCACAGGGCATTAGGAACCTTAAGTGTTGGGGAGTGATCCCACAGAGAGGAGAAGAGTGAAAAAAAGGTAAAGGGACTGAAGAGACAAATGATGCAAATGACAGTGGAGCCTGTTAATCTTGGGGTGAGAAAGAAAGAAGCCTGTGCCACTTTTGTCAAGTGAATAATATAGGCAACCCCGCTTTGAATGACTCAGGACATTTGGAAGGCAAGGTTCTTAACAAGCTGACTTCTTTTAAAGATGCTTCATTCTTGGATTGAATTGTGCTGTATTGAAAATAAATAGTATACTTTGTAAATGTAAATGTAAAAATATCCCTAAAAATGAACCAAATAAAAACTAAACTATTTCCTCACAATATAAATTATACAAACACAAAACATTATTGCTAGTTTTTGCATCTGTTTCTGCAGAAGAAGATAGAAAACAAAACTTTAAGTTTCTTCTATGATGTATGGAATCTTTTGAAAGTAATATTATGTTATGAACAGGGTTAAGTTTATATGACTCTTAAAATATAATGAGATGACATTAGCATCAAAATCCAAAATACTTATGCTTAAAAGTATTTGACATAGTTAGGTTCAGAATTCCAACTTGGACCTGACTATACAACAGCCACAAGCAACACTGCACAGCAGCAGCACATACCAGGGTCTGACTCCTTATTCTGGCGATAGAGAGCTCTGGGATCTTGGGCAAGTTAATCTTTTGGAACTGTACTTTTCTTATCTGTAAAATGAGGATTTATTCACCTGTGTTGCAGGATTGCCATATGAATTACAAATACTGTATCTAATATGCAGGGGACAGAGGAGCCCTCAATAAATAGTGGCTATTATTGTGGTTCCTGAAGAGAAAGTACTGGATTCTTTGGCATGGATAGCAGATTAAAAAGAATGAGAGAGATGATCCTAAATAAAATCAAAACTTGTTTATTTAGAATTCATGGCTAACACTTAAATAGTTGCAAACTATAAATGTGGAAGACAATTTTAAACATAGAAACGATGTGGCTTGGAAGTTAACATTAAACTGATTTCATTTATTTATGATATTTGGCACTGTGCTTGGCATATGGTAATGGTTCAATAAACACTATTGGCTGAATACATTTTAAATATGACATACAAAGTTCATATTCAATTTCATGATTTTAAATTTATTTAAATTCATAATTATGTGATTTTTAAAGATAACCAATATTATTAGAATAAGAAAAACATTTAAGTCTATGCATATTATTTTATCTCAATGTAGACCAACCCTGAACAACACATACCATTGTTTTGAATGTTTTAAAATTTTATATAAATGTTCTTATACTGGATCATACTGTAATTCCTTTTTGTTCAACTTATTCTTTTGGGATTTAATCATATAGCTCTAGCTCCTTCATTTCAACTTCTGTACAGCATTTTACCCTCTGAATACACCACAAAATATGTTTTCATTCTCCTGTTAGTGGACTTTTAAATTGTTCTAATTTTTTTGCTATTACAAACAATGCTGCTACAAACATGACAGTATGTGTCTCCTGGTGCATGAGTGCCAGTT